CTCTTCTCCAGGCCTTTCTTTCCAAGGTAGACTGAATTGGAGGTGTGCATACAAGACGTATAATTGGAACTGGATACATAGGCTGGAATACCCACAGCGCCCCTTCAAATGGTGAGACAAGCTGAGAGTGAAGTGGAGCAGCCATGGGCCATGAGTAAGGGGTCAGGAGTCCTGGGGCCAGCTCTCCCCACAACTACCATGTTCTAGCATGGTGATTGGAGGAGTCTGAGAACTCTCAAGTCAACCTTGACCTTCCATGTCAGGATGAAGATAGATATTTCAGGATAGGAGTTTAGAACATTTAACAATTGGTAGCTTGCTTTAGGATTAGAAGATATTTAAGTACATGATTTGTGGACTTCATTCATCCTCTTGCACTGGAGCCCCACAAATACAAAGGTCCAGCCTTCTAGGAGATTCCACATTTAAGAGAAAAAACATCTTTCAGAGCTCTCCTTTCCATGAACTCTGGTGTGGGGTAGTTGCAGACTGCATGAATTTGGGCAACATGGTTAATAGATTCCTTACTCCAGGCTAAAGAGAAAGCTGACACATTGCCTGTCCACAACCTCCAAGTTTAATGACTTCTCTCAAAGTCTTTCAACTGAGCCATGGTTCAGGCATGTAGTGAGATGCAGTCTGGAGACTGGGGTGGTTCTATGAGCCATACAAAGGAATCCTGTGCTTGTCTGGCTCTCTTGTTTTGTTTTTGTTTTTGTTTTATAAGATATGATGTAATAGAGTTCCATTGGTCAGGAATAATAGCAGAAGCTCACAAGAGGGGCACCTGGGCGGTTCAGTGGTTGAGCATCTACCTTCGGCTCAGGGTGTGATCCCAGGATCCCGGGATCAAGTTTGACATCGGACTCCCTACAGGGAGCCTGATTCTCCCTCTGCCTATGTCTCTGCCTTTCTCTCTGTGTCTCTCATGAAGAAATAAATAAAATCTTTAAAAAAAGAAAAAAAGAAGAAGCTCACAAGAAACATCAGAGGGCTGGGCTGGGGCAGTCCAAAGAGTATTCATTCACCCTTTTTCTGTATCTTCTTGATAGCCAAAACCCCTGGGGGATCCTGTGTTAGTGCCCTTGCAGTAGAGCCTGCAAGTCCTTGAAGAAGTTACCACCTGGTTGAGGAAATAACACTGACACTAAAGTCATTAAAATAGTAGAAAAATAGTAGCAATATAATTAAGGGTGTGACATAAAGTCTTCTCAAGACTAGAGATTACCTGGTCCAGAATGTCTCCTTGGCACTCTGGACATTTTGAGCCAGATAATTCTTTGCTTGATAGGGAGTGGGCATTGGGGGTTGTCCTGTGCATTGTAGAATATTTAACAGCATCACAGTCTCTACCCACTAGATGCCAGTAACAGGCTCCCTGTTTTAGTTGTGACAATGATAAATGTCTTTAGACATGGCCAAATGTCCCCTGGTGGGTCAAAATTGCCTCCAGTTGAGAACCACTGCTCTAGTGTAGACCCTGCCCAATCATCTCCATATGATTAATGTCTACAGACTGAAGGCATCACAGGAAGTCAGAAGGGGGAGAGATGATGGTGGGCCGGAGGAGCCTGGTTCTTGGAGGAGGAGGTGGCCACAAAGGATGGGTAGGATTTGGCTAATCTAGTAGAAGGACAATGCTTCAGATAGAGGAAACAGTGTGCCAAAGGCAAGGGCATCCCCCATATGGTCATGCAGGTGTGCTATGGCCAAGTGTCCCACTGAGGGGACAAGTGGGAGCTGAAATGCAGTCCACCCTCCCCTGGCCAAGCCATTGTTCTGGGTGTGGGGTTGTGTCAGTCCAGAGGAAGGGGAGCCTTTTCTTAGTACAAAGGTATCTTGTATGTCCCCCACCTCATGGGCTCCTGGTACTGTATATGTCCAGAGGGGGCCTTTTTCTTTTTCTTAAAGATTTTATTTATTTATTCATGAGAGACAGAGAGAGAGAGAGAGAGAGAGAGAGAGGCAGAGACACAGGCAGAGGGAGAAGCAGGCTCCATGCAGGGACCCTGACATGGGACTCGATTCCGGGTCTCCAGGATCAGGCCCTGGGCTGAAGGTGGCGCTAAACCGCTGAGCCACCTGGGCCACCCAAGGGGGCTTTTTTCTAATGACACACAGGTGCCACAGAGGCCAGCCAAAGCCCCACAGATGAGCACAGCTGGGATGGAGAGGAGAGGCAAACCAGCGAAGTAGCCAGCACTCTATCAGGGGCTCTGGCTTTCGCTGGCCCTGGTTGGTCCCACTGCACCCCTCTGCACTCTGACTGGTCTGTGGGGACCCTGCCCTGCCCTGCAGAGGTCCTGCACAGAAGAATGAGAAAGAATTTCTTTCAAGAACTCAAAGTAGGGACGCCTGGGTGGCTCAGTGGTTGAGCATCTGTCTGCCTTTGGCTCAGGTCATGATCCTGGGGTCCCTGGATGGAGTCCTGTACCGGGCTCCCCGCAAGGGAGCCTGCTTCTCCCTCTGCCTGTGACTCTACCCACCCCCTCTCTGTGTGTGTCTCTCATGAATAAATAAATAAAATCTTAACAAAAAAAAAGAGCTCAAAGCAGGCTGAACCAAAAGGAGAAGGAAAGCTCTGAGAGAAGAGCCTGGACCTGGAGACCGACCACAGCCAGTGTCTATTGGTTTGGGCCACTGCTGCTGGGGCTGCCCCCCCACAGAAAGGCCCTGCACAGGAGCAACAACTCCCCAGGGAGGACCTTCTTTATTTTATTTATTTATGATAGTCACAGAGAGAGAGAGAGAGAGAGAGAGAGAGAGGCAGAGACACAGGCAGAGGGAGAAGCAGGCTCCATGCACCGGGAGCCCGATGTGGGATTCGATCCCAGGTCTCCAGGATCGCGCCCTGGGCCAAAGGCAGGCGCCAAACCACTGCGCCACCCAGGGATCCCCCAGGGAGGACCTTCTACCCAGAGCCCCCCACCTCCTGCAAAGAGACTTTCAGAACTTCCAGGAACCCCTGGCCCCATCACTTCGCCGTCTTTGCCCATCCATCCAGCTGTGGCCCAGTACAACCCAGGGTGCAGGTGCTCCTGGGGATACACGAAGATCGAAGATCGTCACAGGCCATGTTTTTGGTGTGGGTCATTTAAAGAGCCTCACAGGACGAGCACTCAACCTCCACCCCGGCTTTCCCCTGCTGGTGTCCTGCCTGAGCTCACAGAGGTCAGAGGTCTCGGTCCAGGGGTGCTGCTCATTCCCCTCCTACTTCTCATTTTACAGTCACCCTTCTCCCTGCTCTCAAAAAGAAAGGCACACCCCTCACCCATGCCAAATCCTACCATGGTGCATTGGCTTAGGGAAAAATGTATGGCGCATCAAAGCTACACTCTAAATCCCGGCATCAGTGTTGAGGAAAGGAATGACTGATGACTGGGCAAATCAATGAGGTTCTAATTCTTTGCTTTCATTCAAAGTGAAAGAGAATCTCTTCTAGTTGTCAGCTGATAGATTCTTAATGACCCACCCATATGATCGTCGGCATATAACTCAAAAAGAATTTCTAAAATTGATTGACAAACTCCTTATACCTCTTTGTACTTACATATGTGAAAAGGTTCCTGAGCTCAGCTCTCACATCTATTAAAACACACACACACACACACACACACACACACACACACACAAGAATTAATGCTGAACCCTGACCTCATCTAGCAATGAGTAATATTCATTCATGGAAACAGGAACTAATTGGGGCAGGAAAAAAGCTTTATCTCATTAAGAAATGTATTTCCAATTAAGCTTTATTCTTTATGCTTCCTTAGTATCTATTAAAATCCCTAATGGCATTTGTTTTGATTGTGGACTAGTTGTCATGGTACAAATCGAGAGAAAATATTCTCTTAACATTTCGAATCTATGGTCACAGGAAATTTAAAAACTTAATTCATTTTATATACAAAGCTTTTGGAGAGAAGTATGACAAGGTGGTACATAAAAGTCATCCAATCATAAAAATATATGAGGATAAAATTATGTAGGAAAAGGAGAATGGAAATATAAACTCGAGGAGAAAAAAGAAAGATGACGTTTTTTCCTACTGTTATAAACTTCACGTGTTTTTTAAAAGGATGGCAGTGAGTATGCAGTGGCTATAGTATTTCATTTGGAAATATTTTTCAGAATTCTAAAAGCAGTTTTATTTTCCTTTTTTTATATAAATTTATTTTTTATTGGTGTTCAATTTGCCAACATATAGAATAACACCAGTGCTCATCCCGTCAAGTGGCACCCTCAGTGCCCGTCACCTAGTCACCCCTACCCCCGCCCTTCTCCCCTTCCATGACCCTTAGTTCGTTTCCCAGAGTTAGGAGTCTTTCATGTTCTGTCTCCCTTTCTGATATTTCCCACTCATTTTTTCTCCTTTCCCCTTTATTTCCTTTCACTATTTTTTATATTCCCCAAAGGAATGAGCCCATATAATGTTTGTCCTTCTCCGATTGACTTACTTCACTCAGCATAATACCCTCCAGTTCCATCCACGTCGAAGCAAATGGTGGGTATTTGTCGTTTCTAATGGCTGAGGAATATTCCATTGTATACAGATACCACATGGCAGTTTTATTTTCCAATGTCAGTGTTTGCACACACCAGAGGGCTCACCCTATGTAACTACACTACAAAAAAAAAAAAAATGTTCCTACAAATGTGCAAGGGGAGTACCTAGAGTTTCAGGATTCTCGGAGGAGTCTGCAAGAAAAACTTTAGACCCTGCCCCGCTAAAGGCCCGCAAGCCTGGTCTTGGCTGCAAGGAAGGGTGCCTAGAATGAATGCAGAGTTGAGGGCGCGCTGGAAGCTGGGGGGCTCTGACCGGCGCTGGGTTGGTGGGCCAACCAAATGGGCCAAGGAGATCTCCCTCCATCCAATCAATACTTCCCTCCTGTCCTGTTTTCTCATTTCATTTTAAGCATTCCTCTGAAATACCGTCGTCTCCACTCCAGACGTCCCGCCAGGCGGTGTGAGCTGGGCCCTGGTCGCCCCGCCGCTTGCAGCGCTGGCTCCCCCCGGGACCCCTGGGCGCCCCCGCCGGCCGGGCACCCTGGGTTGGGCACCCTGGGCGCGCGCTCGCCGCTCGGGCTCCGGGCTCGTCTCACGCCCAGCGGGGCGGCCCTGAGTTTTGTCACCTGGGTCCCCGTGTGCACAGCGCCGGGCACCGAGCCTGGCCTGCAGGACCCGGTTGCAGCAGCAAATACTCGCCAGCCGCGCGGTGGCATCTTCCCGCCCGCCAGGGATGACACGAGTCTGGACTTCCCAGCGTCGCCCTTCTCCGCGCCCAGGGCACCGAGGAGCGTCCCTAAGTCCCCAGGGGCTCCTTTAGGGCCGGGCCCGGGAGGGGCGGTGAGGACGCGCTCCTCGGGGAGGGCGGGGAGCGGGACCGACGAGGGCAGGCCCGGGTCACCTGCCGCCGCCGCGCTGTCACTTCGCTGCACTTGCTAGGACCGTCAAACCCAGGCGTCTCTCCCTCCTCCCCGTCCGCCGCGCTGGCCCCTTTCACACCAAGGGATCGTGTCTAAAGTCTAGGACCCTGAAGGGTCTGGCTTCAAATGCAATGATTTAAGGGCTGGGAGAGAAAGGAGGGGAGAAGGGGGGTGGGGAGAATCCGAGATTGAAAGCCATGCCTAGGGATCCCTGGGTGGCGCAGCGGTTTGGCGCCTGCCTTTGGCCCGGGGCGCGATCCTGGAGACCCGGGGTTGAATCCCACGTCGGGCTCCCTGCATGGAGCCTGCTTCTCCCTCTGCCTGTGTCTCTGCCTCTCTGTCTCTCTCTGTGTGACTATCATGAATAAATAAATAATAAAATCTTAAAAAAAAAAAAAAAGAAAGCCATGCCTAAGCCCCGTTTCTTTAAGATCTCTTCTGCCAAAGCAATTTGGCATAGGCATTAAAGAGTCCTTTAAAAATCGTCACACCCTTAACCCATTAATTCCAGTTCTAGGATGCTTGCCCATGGAAGTAATCTGGGGCAAAGGTTTAGGTACGCAGAAACCACTGCCTTGTGATGGAAACTTAAAATATAGAAGTTGAATAGATCAGAGTATAAAAGAACAATGATCAGGTGGGTTTAAAATGGTGATTTTTCAAGAATGTGTCATGGCATGGAAAAAATGACCATAGGGAATATTTGTTGGGCACTTACTATGTGCCAGATGTTCTGCTAAATGGTTTATACAGATTCTTACAACCATAGGAGACAGATTTTATTACTGTCACTCTTCTAAAACCTGTGGCCCAGAGGAGGAGCTTGCCTAAGGGTGACTAGCAAATATAGTGTGAAAATTGAGGTGTAGAGTTTATCCAAAGGGCTTAACTGAGTAAGTGGCAGAAATAGGATTTAAACTTAAGAGACTCTGAACTGGGAGCCCAGGCTCTTAACTTCCATGCTCTTAACTACCTGCCACAGTGTGCAACACTGTATGCATCAATAGGCCAGTAAGGTGTATGCACACAAGTGACCCTCCTCCCAATATATGCATAGAAAAATAATTGAAGGACAGACTCGACATTTTCACAAGGGTATCTCTCAGCAGAACAATTACTGTGATTTAAATATTCTTTATACTGGATCTTTAAATTTTTCAACAATGTGTGTGTATCGATTTAACAAGTAGACAAAATGTTATATACAGATTGATTCCACTAAAAAGTCATGTGCTAATTGCAGCACTATTATCATAAAAACTTGAAAATAACTCAAATGTCAATTACTATTTGAATAGTTAAAATCAATCATAAAAAATATTAGGTGCAATAATTTGTAGGGCATTGCAAATGAGGTTTATAAAGACCAAGTGATTCCATATGTGAGGTGCAAAATGGTAGGCATATCATGTGTAATTATTTGAAATATCACTGTGAAATATGAAAAAAGAAAATAACTGTATTTGGATGGTAGAGTTATATGTGATTTACAAAACTTTTTTGACATCTGTAATGTATTCTTTAATTTCTTATATAATAAAATTTTTTCATCAAGTTAAATTTCAGTTATCAAACTTTGTATGGAACACATGAGCATCTCTTTGCCTTTCTGTTCTATATTTCAATTCACTGCCAAGACACCCCAATAAGAACGGGCATTTCCTCTCTCATTTTACTGATAGGAAAATTAAGGCATAGAGTAGGTGAGTTCGTTTGCTAATCTGGCAAATGAATGGCAACCCAGGGGATAGAATCCAGGCCTGCAATCCCCCACCCCAGGGCTCTGACCTATAAACAACACAGATTCTCTTAGATAAGGACTGCATGGTGCCTTGATGGAGAATAGAAACCACTATTATTAAGACCTCAAACTGAGATCCAAGTTTGGATTCTCTCCAGTGGGCAAGAGCCTGAAGACAGGAAGCATGCCCTGTTGATGCTCTCTGTGTCCCAAGTGGGACTGCCCAAGGCCTAAGGCTTTCTCCCACTACTCTCCAAACCCCTGCACCCACACTGACACCACACCCAGCCAGTCTTGTTCCCAAATGCAGGCTCCCTAAAACATACCCTGCCTTTGGTTGGAGAGAGGCCAGTAGATTTACAGTTTATCCTCTCCCAATGCCCCTTAGGGTACAGCCCTGCCCATGGCCCAATGAAAGGGGCAGGGACCCCAGACCCTAGCATGTGTGGCACCCAGTAGGCAAGAGAAGGAAGCCTAGAAAGAGAGGTGAGAAGAGATCAAGTGTCATCAATAGAGGGTGAAGCCAGTGGGAAGCTAGGGGGCTGAGGGTTCTCTTGGAACTTGGTCATTGGGCCCTGGCTGTTCACTTAACAGATGGAGATGTGACCTGCCAGGGTCACACAACAGCCAGAGAGAGTAGGAGTGAGTCCAATCCAAAGCCCAAGGGAATCAGTGGAAGACCAGGCTAGGATTCCAGAGCCAGGTTTCGTTCATTTAAAAAATACCCTGTGCCATCCTTGCTTACCAGATCTTTCTGTTCGTATAGGGCCAGAGTCAGTACGTTATTATCCTCAATTTCACCCCCTTGGGGGTCAGCGACCCTCATGGCTCAAATGGGAAAAATCTAGCAAGTCACAGGAGAGGGAGCAACTCCCTCTCCAGAAAAACGAACCCAATCTCCAATACATGAAACAAACCAATGGGCTGAGAGTCCAGGGATGTGTCCAAGTCCAAGGATCCCAGAGTCAGGAAGAGGCAGGGTTTGAGTGGCCCAGAAAGAGGGGTGTGCTATAAAGAGCTAAGAGAAAAACAGAAGTTCCCCTAAGTACAGTAAGCGTGCAAAGTGCTTAAGAAGTGGTGCTAAGCCCAGGTTTAGCAGTCCTCGTGGCAGGGAAGCATCCTTAAAAAGGAGGCAGAGAGGGGTTGTTTGGATGGGGCGAGTTGTGCAAATAGTGCATTTAAGTTCTGGCAACTGAAGACCAGGATGATGCTACTGGTACTTTCTGTAAGGAAAGGAGATGTCATTCGGGGATGTAGCCTCGAATGCCACAGGGAGCCTTTTAGGAAAAAGTACAAAAAGTATTGCCTAGAAGGAGACCTGTCCACCTGTCTGAGCTGGCCGATGACCAGATATTTGCTTCCCTGCTTCTGTGGGGTCCGAGCAGTTTCTTTGGAACAAAGCAGGAGAGGGGCAAGTGCTGGACAGAGAAGCTGGGGCATTTTACACCGTAAAATGAGCCCCTGTCACGCTTCTGCTGCTCTGGGTGCTGCAGGTGTGGCTCCTTCACTGCCACCCCAGTACCTCTCTTGTGAAGCAGCAGCTGAGGAGACTGCACACTGCCCGGGAGGCAAAGCCCCAGGAGGCAAAGGCCCAGGAAGGAGTCAAGCCTGAGAACCACCATCACCTTCATTTGGAGGCAGAAGCCTGATGGTTCCTTGGAGCACTGTGAGGTTAAGGGGCCTGCAGCACTTAGCTCACTAATGAAAGCCAGTCGCGAATGACAGGGTTTGTCAATGAGGCAGATCAGATTCTGATTTAAAGGGCTGCCAGTGGGCCCAGGAACTGAGCCTGTGGTCCAGGATCGAGTCCCACATCGAGCTCCCTGCGTGGAGCCTGCTTCTCTCTGCCTATGTCTCTGCCTCTGTGTGTGTGTGTGTCTCTCATGAATAAATAAATAAAATCTTTAAAAAATAAAAAAAATAAATAAAAACTGCAATCTGGGTGCATCACATCCTGACTCCAACGGCACAGCTTCCACTCTTCTTCCATTTCCCCTCCCCATTCCTTTATTGTACATCAGGTGTGTATGTACACAGGTGTATTCCATCTTTTTAAACAAAACAGCCAATGGTATGTTTCATTTGCTTTTCATATGTTTCATTGCTGTTTCAACAAAACAGCAAATGGAGGTGAGATGGGGAAAAATAATGATTGTATGAAAATAGCCCCTCTTTCCTTTAGTGGCCTGCTCCTGTGGCTCTTACCCTTTTACCCCAGTAAGTTCATTTGTCCTCATTGTTTAACAAAGAAAGAACAACATGTAAATTCTTACAGACTTTCTTCGACTGGAGAATTTTAATGTTTTTCATTTATCATTGTACAACCAAGGACAATTTTATAATTTTGTAAATTTTATAAATTATAATTTTTTGCATGTAGCTGTTACATGTGGGGCCACCGTCTTTAAGTAGGGATAAATTATTCTAAAAGAGGGATGCCTCAGTGGCTCAGGGGTTGAGCGTCTGCCTCTGGCTCAGGTCGAGATCCCGAGGTCCTGGATCGAGTTCGGCTTCTCCCTCTGCCTGTGTCTCTGCCTCTCTCTTTTTGTCTCTCATGGATAAATAAATAAAAATATTTTTTAAAAATTGTTCTAAAAGAAATAGATCTTAGTATCCTTTCAAGTCAAGTGTCTTGATGTTTAAATAAACTTTTTGTTTGAAAAAAAAAAAAGCAAAGTCATGAGCCTTCCATGCTTGCAAGCCCTAAATGAACTCCCATTGTACTTAGAATAAATCCAAATTCCTTAAATGCCACCCACAAGACCCAGTATGATCTCACACTGACCCTTCTCTCTCCCCTGCACTCATTTAGTGAAGCCCCACTGGCCTCCTCTCTACTCAAGTCAGCAGAGCTTTTTCTGCCTGGTACTTTATATCTGTGGCTCCCTCTGCTCAGAATGTCCTTCCTTCTGCCCACCTTCCCCTCTGCTGTAGGCAGGACTGGCTCCTTCTTGTGCTATAGGTCCCAGAGCCCAATGTGAACAGGTCACAGAAGGCCTCACCGTCCAAAACCCTTGACTTCTTCATCGCACTTAGATCACCTGGAAATCACCAGTTGTCTGCTTGCTTGGTATCCCCTCCCGAGCCCTGGCCCCTCCCACTTGTGGCTTCACCATCCACATTAGAATGTTCTAGAATGTTCCTTCGTGAGAGCCCTCGGAGCAGTAACTACAAGGGATGCAGTACTTGGCAGAGCGCTTGCCATTTGGTAACCATGCAGTAAATATTTGTGGAATGAATGGATGAATGAATAAGAGGTCTGCTGATTTGAATTTAAG